ATCCAGTTTAAAATTATACTTTTGGGGGGGTGGGGGTTCAAAACAGGATCTTGCTAGCCAGGGATTTAGCTCAGTGGTTCTGCTGCCTGCCTCACAAGCACAAGGTCTGGAGTTCGATCCCTGGTACCAAAAAAACCCAAAAAAATAAGGTCTTGCTATGTAACCCAGGCTGGCCTTGAACTCACAGTGATCCTACTGCCTTAGCCTTCCAAGTGCTAGGATTACAGGTGTGCACCACCACACCCAGCTACTCTTATTAAAATAATTGAGCCCCTTGTGCCTTTTATAGAGGTGGAAAATGTAAATCTGTAATTTTTACTTTCTTGGACAAAATCAGCAAGGCCTTAAAATATAGTGAAGAGTCCAAAATGACCACATCAAGTTTATACAACTTTCAGAAGCAACGTTGAGAGCTGTCTATCTCTTAATGTTCATATGTAAAATAAAAAGAGAAATTTAAAGGCACACTGAAAATTCTTACCTTAGGGAGTTTTTCAGTTAAGCAAGTTGCAACTCTGTAACCAACTGGAGTAACTTTCCCTGCCTAAGGGGAAAAAAGCAAAAGTTGTCAGGATGGAAGAGGACCACTTTGAAGAATGGAATTCATTTTAAATTTGGCCTAGACTACAAAGTTACTTTGAACTAAAAACAAGAGGAAAAAAAAGTATAGCACAATTGAGGCATTCCTGATATATAAACATTAAATGCTAAGTACAGGGACTGGGGTTAGTGGTATAGCATTTGGATGCCTAGGATGCACATGGTGCTGGCTTCAATCCCCTGCAGGAAAAAAAACACACAAAAAACTAAATATAAATACTGTAATATAAATGTAAGCATTTTTTTTTTTTTGGTACCAGCAATTGAACTCAGGACCCTGTGCTTGTGAGGCAGTCGGCAGAACCACTGAGGTAAATCCCCATCCCATAAGCATTCCTTTTTATAGCATTAGCATTGTCAGTGATCTGTTCAATTACAGACCTCTGTGACATGCTGAGGTACTCAATCTTCACATGCAATCTTAAAATTCACAGGTTAATTTTTTATTGCCCTATATCACCACCAAAATGGAAGTACAGCTGCCTGCAGTTAAGATCAAGAGGTACAGTGTTTAGCATGTCCAAATACACCTGGGTGTGTTTGTGCACTGTTTGCCAACAACACTAACTTTTGATACCTGTAAGCATCCCATTCCTCGCCCATCCCCTTCAACATATGACCCAAATCCTGCTTGGCTTTGTCTACTTAACTGTAACTGGGGTCCTATCTGTCCTTCCTTTGCCCATGGTAGATATTACAACTTTTCATTCCCAGAAATGCAACTCTTATCTATTTCTTCTTTATCTATTTCTAGGCAACTGATATTTTTGCAATTATGTAAGTTTCTTTTTAAAAAACTGAGAGAAAGTTCTCATAAGAAGTGTTCTGGGTCTCCAAGGAGAGTGGGAGTGAGGAGGGAAAGTATGAGAGGTAGGACAAACTAAGAGCAGATATATGGAGAGTTGAGGGAAGTGGAAAGATGAGTACATAGATGTGGGTTGGCAGGGAATGGAAAGGTTAAATAAATAGAGGGTGGACTGGATGAACATACAGGTGGATGGATATATGGGAGTAGATGAAAAGTATTTTTATCATTTGGTGCTGGGTACACAAATTCCTCTGAGGAGGGTATCAGCATTTAAAAGGGTACCTTCATCAGGGCAAGGAATTTAGCTCAGTGGTTCCAACGCCTGCCTCACAAGCGCAAGGTCCTGGGTTTGATCCCCGGTACCAAAAAAAAAAAAGAGTATCTTCATTACATCTCTCTAGGCCTACCAGAGGAAGCTCACAAACATGTCCAGGCAGAAAGCTGAACTGCTTTACTAAAAACTAGGAGATAATATGAACTGCTGATGTATAGATTAAAAAGGAAGAATTCAAGGAGATGGCAGATAAATTGTAAAGAAAGTGGCTTGGTGCCACACACCTGTAATCCCAGCACTCGGGAGGCTGATACAGGAGGATCACCAAGAGTTTGAGGCCAGCGTAGGCTACATGGTGAGTTCAAGGCCAGCCTGAACAGCATAGTGAGACCCTGTCTCTAAATAAATACATACATACCTACATACACACATACAAACATACATGCAAACTCCAATTTTGCTGGGCACAATGGTGCCCACCTGTGGTTTCAGCTTCTCAGTGGGATTTACATAGGAAGATGGTTTAAACTTAGAATTCAAGGCCAGCCTGGGCAACATTTCATCAGTTGCCCAAATAATGTCCTTTATAGCAAAAAATGGGGAGGATTCGCCGCCTGCTGCGCAAGCACACGGACCCAAGTTCAATCCCCAGTACCAAAAAAAAACCAAGGAGGAACAGACAGAAAGAACTTAGAACATAAGGCCTGACACTGCTAAGAGGGAAGAAGGGGACAGGAATCTAGCTTAGTGGTAGAGCACTTGCCTAGCATGTGCAGGGTCCTCACTTGATCCCGAGCGCTGAAGGAAAAAAAGATTCAGAGGAGAGAGAAAAGGACTAAGAAGAAAAAGCTTCCAAGTATAGCACAATTCTGAGAAAATCTTGGCTAGGCCAAAGTGTGGTCTTTAAGAGTAAGTTGCCGGGCTGGAGATTTAGCTCAGTGGTTCCCGTGCCTGCCTTGCAAGCCCAAGGACCTGAGTTCGATCCCGGTACCAAAAAAAAAAAGACTAAGTTGCCTATTATAAGAGGGAAAAGCCCAGTTTGGTGTCCCTGCCATGTTCAGTCACTGGGAGTGTGTCCTGGTAACTTTAGGGGAGATCCATGAGGGCTGCAGGCAGAGGCTGTCAATCAACTCTGCTCCACAGGCGGGCTTCTGGAGGGAGACCTGAGCCAGCTCCTCAATGGCCACAACATACGTGTAGTACTCAGTTGCTATGTTGCTTTTGTCTTCTTCAGTCTAAAATAGTTCTTAATCTGTCCTTATTTTTCTTGACCTTGACATGTCTACTAATGCCAGGCATGCTGGCACACACCTGTAACTCTAGCACTCTGGGAGCAGGAGAATCACCAAGAGTTCAAGGCCAGCCTGGGCTACATAGTAAGTTGAGGGCCAGGCTGAACTACACAGAGAGGCCCTGTCTCAAGAAAAAAATAAATAAAAGACTCCCTAAACACAAACATGGTTATAGCTATACTATGAGTTTCCCCAATACCTCCAATTACAATCCAACACAACGGGATGCATTTTACTCTTCTTTCCACATTTACAACTCTTTTCTCTATCAGTGAGAAATCTCACACCTATTGTCCTAAATATACTGACTTACCTGCTCAGGTTCTCTGTTTGTAACCTAACTCCCAACTCCCCTGCTACCTCTTTTCTTAGGCTCTGACCACTGCACTGCCATCTTGCTTGGCCACTTCCTTACTCGGCCCCCAATGTTACAGTTTTGAATGGCCAAGTACTTCTTTTACTTTCAACTCAGGAAGGCTGGCACAAAACCATTTTTGGCTGCTAAAGACCCACAGAGCCACAGTCACTGTGCCACCTTTCACTCTCCAGATTCAGTGTGCCCTGGCACAAATGTCCCACCTCTCCCTTTGCTTCTTAGTCCAGATTACTCTGTTTTACCCAGGGACATGTCCAATTCTGAATCTCTCAGAGAGAAATAGGAGTGATGGTATCCGTTCTTTTCCCCCGGAAGACACAGAACACATCATGCAAATGAACCCCCCACTTCCCAAGATCCCGCAGAAAATGGCTGTGCAAATTCAGACACAATGAACCTTTGTGCCTTTTTCTCCAGTACCAAGGCCTGCAGAACTAGGAAAGTCCCACAGGATTTAAATGGGTGGCCCTTTTTTTCTCTACCCATTATCAAAACAGTTATCAGGTTCTCTTACTACAGAACAGGAAAAAATAAGGCACCCCTTTGCATGACATTTACCACAGTATAAAATCACTTGTTTACTGGTCTCAAATCTCTAGATGCTAAGTTCCTTGAAAGTAGGTACTGTGTAATTTCCTTACTTACACAGCCCCACTGCCTAACGCACTGTACAACTGTATAGTCTTTGAAGATACTATAATTTTTGTAAAACTTTCCTTTGGACATTTACTTCCTTCTTCATCTTTTTTGTTTGTTTGTTTGCTTGTTTTAGACAATCTCAATAATGTAATTCAGGCTAGCTTCAAACCTGAGATGATCCTCCTGCCTCAGCCTCCTGAATGCTAGGATTACAGGCATGTACCACCATGCCCAGCTTGTTACTGATTTTGTGTGTGTGTGGTACTAAGAATGGAACCCAGGGCCTCATGCATGCTAGGCAAGTGCTCTACTACTAGGCTACATCCCAGAATTTTTTTTTTTTTTGTACCGGGGATCGAACTCGGGTTCTTGCTCTTGCAAAGCAGGCAACGGAACCACTGAGCTAAATGCCCGGCTATTTTTTTTTTTAGGATGGGATTTTCACTCAGTTTCCCAGGCTGTCTGCAAACTGGTGATCCTCCTGTCTCAGCCTCATAAGTAGCTGGGATTGCAAATATGTATCACCTTGTGCAGCTTGTTACTGATTTTTAAACATGTTTAGCAAACTAGGAAGGAACAGAGGTATTCTCATCTTGGTATATCAGAAATTTCCCATAAATATTTGATAATTAAACATTGTAATTTCTATTAAAATCAGAAGATTTGTATTTTTATTAGAACCAATGCAATGACATAGGAAGTAGAAATGAGAGGTGCATACATGGCATGACCAAAATATATGGTGAACTCCCGTTTAATGTAGCTCTCGAAACATTATCCAGAGCAATTAGACAACAGAAAGAAATAAAAGGGATATGGATAGGAAAGGAAGAAGTTAAATTATCTTTATTTGCAAATGACATGATCCCCTACATAGAAGACCCCAAAAGATCCACCAAAAACTCTTAGAATTAATAACCAAATTCAGTAACATAGGAGGATACAAAGTCAACACTCAAAAATCAATAGCATTCCTGCACACCAATAACAAACTCACTGAGAGAGAAACTAGGGAAACAATATATTTCACAACATCAAGAAAAATGAAATACTCAGGCATTAACCTAACCATGAAAGTGAAAGATCTTTACAATGAAAACCAAAATACTATGAAAAAGGAGATTGAAGAGGACATCACAAAATGGAAAGATATCCCTTGTTCCTGGATAGGCAGAACCAAATAGTCAAAATGGCCATCCTTCCAAAACTATTACACAGATTTAACACAATCCCAACCAAAATCCGAGTAGCATACCTCACAGAACTAGAGAAAGCAATCGTAAAATTCATGTGAAACCAGAAGAGACCTAGAATAACAAAAGTGATTCTGGGCAACAAGGGCAAGGTAGGGGCATCACAATCCCAAACTTACAAGTTATACTACAAAGCTGCACTGATTAAAAATAGCATGGTATTAGCCACCTGCTGCGCAGGCACAAGGACCCAAGTTTGATCCCTGGTACCAAAAAAAAAAAAAAAAAATAGCATGGTATTAGAAAAATAAATAAATAAAACAAAAACAGACTTGTGGATCGATTTGAAACAACTCCAGCCACACTCAGCTACCTTATCTTTGACAAAGGGGCCCTTTTGCTAGAGGAAAGATAGTCTCTTTAACAAATGTTACTGAGAAAACTGGCTATTCATATGCTAAAGACTGAATCTAAACCTAACGTTCATCATGCACTAAACTAAAATAAAAATGGATCAAAGATCTAAATATTAAAACAGAAAAAAATATTAAAACAAACAATCTGCTGGAAGACACAAGAGGTGAAACTCTTGAAGACATAGGTAGGCAAAAACTTTCTAAACAGAACTTCACTGCACAAGAATACCAAGGATCAACAAATGGGGTCACAGGGGCAGGGATTTAGCTCAGTGGCACTGTGCCTGCCTGGCAAGCACAAAGTTCTGAGTTCGATTGTCAATACTGGAAAAAAATGGTATCAAATAAAAAAGCTTCTGCACAACAAAAGAAACCACCAACAGAGTGAAGAGACAACCTATGTAATGGGAAAAACATTTTGCCAGCTACTCCTCAGAAAAAGGACTGGTATCTAGAATATATAAAGAATTCAAAGGGCTGGGGATTTAGCTCAGTAGCTCCGGGCCTGCCTGCCTTGCAAGCACAAGGTCCTAAGTTCCAAACCTGGTACCAGAAAAAAAAAAATTAATTACTTAAAAAATAATTCAAGGGCCGGGGATTTAGCTCAGTGGTTCCACCATCTGCCCCACAAGCATAAGGACCCGAGTTCGATCCCTGGTACCAAAAAAATAATAATAACAACAATAATTCAAAAAATTAGATCTCTCAAATTTAAAGGCCCAATCAAAAAATAGGGATCTGAAATGAATAGACCCTTCTGAAATAAAAAAAAGTACAAATGGCCAATACATACATGAAAAAATGTTCATCACTGGCCATTTGAAAAATGCAAATTAAAATTACACTGAGATTCAAAAACAAAAAACTCCAAAAAGAAAAAATCAACCAATAACAAATGCTGGAGAGGCTGCAGAGAAAAAGGAACCCTTCTTCATTGTTGGTGGAAGTAAAAACTGGCACAACCGCTATGGAAATCAGTACGGAGATCCCTCAAACTAAAAACAGAAATTCCCCTTGACCCAGCTGTTCCTCTTCTAGGCATCTTTCTGAGTTAAAGACATCATACCACAGTGATGTATGCATATCTATGTTTATAGCAATGTAATTCATAAAAGCTAAATCTCGAGAATAGCCTATATGTCCCTCAACGGATGAATGGATAAAGAAAATGTGGATTTATACATCATGGAGTACTACCCTGTCATAAAGAAAGATAGATAAACTTGAGTCACTTGTAGGAAAATGGGTGCACTTTGAGACCATAAGGTTAAGTGAAGTAAATCAGACAATTTATATATCACATGGTTTCTCTTATATGAGAAACTCAATACATAAGTAATATGCAAAATAAAAGAAAAAAGAAAAAAAAGACAGAGGAAAAAAGTTATTAAAATCCAGCATGGACAGTGTATCTAAAAGTATATCTTGATTTAGTATAATTGTCTTATTTGTTTTATTTATTTTGTTGTTGTTGTTGTTGTTTTTGGTACCAGGGATCGAATTCGGGACCTTGCGCTTGCAAGGCAGGTGGCAGACCCACTGAGCTAAATCTCTGGCTTGTTTTATTTCTTTTTTGGCCTGTTAGTGTAGCTATTATTCTGCATGATAATTAACTTTATAAGGACTTATACGATAAATAAATGGACAAGATGTTGGAAAAAAAGGAGAGGAGGGGATGGGGAAAATAATTGAGAGTGTTATGTACATGTACAATTTCCCCACAATGAACATAATCATTATATACCACAAATATGTACTAATAAAAATAAATTTTCAAAAAATATGTAATATATGGGCTGGGGATTTAGCTCAGTGGCACCATGCCTGCCTCACAAGCACAACGTTCTGAGTTTGATCCCAGGTGCCGCCAAAAAAAAAAAAAGTAATATATATGGTGAGGCCAGGTATGGTGGTGCTCACCTGTGATCCCAGCACCCAGGAGACTGAGGCAAGAGGATTGCCATGAGTTCAAGGCCAGACTGAACTACATAGCAGGACCCTGTCTCAAATAAACAAAACATATATATGTATAATGAAATATATATTTATATATGATATATATTATTACAGTAAGACACACTGTCATTAATCCTTCTCATTTCCAACACACTTATCACATCATTTTATGCCACTTTCTGAAGCAGTTCTGGAAGTTCTCTTTAGTGACTGCTTTTACAAGGTGTGATAAAAAGTACAGTGAATGCAGCTGCTGAGTGCCATCCGACAGAAAGGCAGCCTTGTAAAAACATTAGTGCGTGCTCATCCACTTTCTTCACCAGGTCTGGCACTATGTGACTTCTGGCTCCTCCCCAAAATTAGAATAACCATGAAAGGGAAATATTTTGAATCTAGCGCATAAAGGCAGCCATGACAGCACTTGCAACTAGACACTCAGGAAAGAGGACTTTCAGAACTGCTTTAGAAAATGTCAAGACTGATATTACTCTCTGTGTGTTAAAATTGGGGGGAGTATGGGAGGATTAACAGCACTGTATCTTACTGTAATAAGCTTTTAAAATTTTTATTCACTGTATTTTTTATCACACCTGGCACAAAATTATCAAACTGATCATCTTCCTAGAAAAACCCAATGGAAATAATGATAAATAATTATGACTAATCAGAGTTCAGGAAGGTGACCAGGAACAGGAACAACAAAAACAATGAAAACAAATATATGCAGCAATTTCCAATCTAAGTCAAACAAATGTGAATTTTAACAATGCCTAACAAGTAATTATTAATTTTTTACCAGCTGGGTGTGACACCTGTTCAAAATGAAAAATAAGTTGGGTATAGTGGCACGTGCCTGTAATTCCAGCACTCTGGGAAGCTGAAGCAGGAAGATGGCAAGTTTGAGCCCAGACTGGAAAATGTAATGACTTAGCAAGATGCTATTGTTTATGTTTGTTTGAGACAATATCTTGCTATGTAGTTCAGGCTGGCCTTAAACTCACTGTGTAGCCCAGACTGGCCTTGAACTTGAGACGATCCTCCTACCTCAGCCTCCTGAGTGCTGGGATTATAAGCATGCACCACCACGCTAGGCTGTCTTCTGATTCTCTCTTTTTTTAATTTTTGTTTTATTTGTACGTTTGCTATAGAAAATGATTCATGATGGGGCACTAGTACTCGCACAACACATCTTAAACCTTTCTCCAATTCTAAGATCTGATTCACTTCTTAGCATACTGTAATCTCAATTTTCCCTCTATTATGCTTTTTTTTTTTTTTTTTCAGTGAGGAAGGCACGATAGCCTATTATGCCATTCTTTTTTTTTTAAGGCAGAGTCTCACTTTGTAGTTCAGGCTGGCCCTGAACTCACTGTGTAAGCCAGGCTGGGCTCGGACTCACAGCAATCCTCCTGCCTCACCTTCCCTGATGCTGAGATTACAGGCATGTGCCACCAGGCCTGGCTATTACTCTATTCTAACAATGTTAATTTCCTTAATACCCAAGTTAATTGCCATCCCACTTGCCCTATCAAAGATGTTTCAGTGAGGCGCTCTCTTCTCCATACTGCCTTTTTAGTAGAAAGGGTATGTGAGATGAGAGGAAGCAGTGGTTTTGGAGCTAGGTACCTGCTTTGGAAGCCAGAAGCTGAGTCTGTGTGTGTGAGACCAGATCAGAAGACATAAACTGCAGAACCAATTCAGAAATAGGAAGTGCCAAGTCAAAAGGCAGTGGCTGGGGAAATCCAGTGATGGATCCAGAAAGCAAAGTGGGTCAAACACAAAACACTGAGTCCCAAGGGGAACAAAAGTCCGTAGATGACAAAATTCTGCAGAAGCCCTGTGACCTCTTTAACAGTTTTATTCTCAAATTTCAGTTTGTAGAAACTTTTATTCCCAGAAGCCTTAAAGATGCATTCTTGATGTTCTTCAATACCATACTCTCAGACCTGCCTCTTTCTTCTCCATTCTCTTTCCCATTTAATCATCCTGACTTAAATTATGTAAAATACATTTGCTAAATGGCTATTATATGGAAGGCACTGTGATAAACCATGAAAGTAAACAATCAATATGATACAGACTTTGCCCTTAGAGGTCACCTTACAGGTAGGAGGAGCACCATGAGTTTGAGGTCAGCATGGGCTACACAGTGAGTTCAAGGCCAGCCTGCACTACATAGTGAGACCCTGTCTCAAAAAAATAAGGAGAGAGAGAGAGAGAGAAAGAGTATTTTCCCCTTAGTGCTGGGGATTGAACCGGAGGTGCACTACCACAGAGCTACAACCACATCTCCTTTTATTTTTTTAGACAAGGTCTCTCTAAATTGCCCAGGCTAGGCTTGAACTTGTAACCCTTCCAATTCATTCTTCTAATTAGCAGTTATAATCTCCACACCTGGCAAGAATGCATTTCTATGAAGGAAGAATCATATTTGTAGTTATTTAGACACCTGGATAATATTCATTTAGGTGTCTATGTGTCCAGCACTGGAGTGAGTCTAAACCAAAAAGGCCAAGGTCACATACTTTTCATTTTGTAGTATCCTGTTACCAGCACAATGTCCACTACAAGTCTGTGTTGAAAGGAACAAACTCACAGAGTAAACAATACATGGAAAAAGAAAAGCATTTTTCCATTCATAATATGGATACTCAGGTACAACATGAATCTGAGCAGTGAGAGGGTGACAGAGTGAAAACTGAGAAATGAAACAAAGATCCAAGGAGAAAAGGAAGATACTGAAAGGACCACTGTTGTGCATAGGTCACATCCAGGAAGGAAGGTAGAGAATAAAAGGTTATCAGACAAAGTAACACCTGCAGGGTTCAGGGGGCAAGGGTATTAGAATCCAGTGAAATCTCTGTGATTTGTTTGCACAAACCCAAACAAGTCTTGACATTTGTATCATTTCAATAAAGACTAGCCTATACATTGTTCACAGAAAAAGTACAGGGGAAAAAAACTTACAGTTGGCCAGCAAGGCATCCGATCAACAAATTTCCCAGAGTATATGGGTCTGACGCAGCCTGGAGGTTCCACTCCTGGTTCGAGAGTTCCAGCCTCTTCAGGTTGCTGGGCAAAGTGGCACTGGGAAGGTTCTATTACCAAGCCCATCTGGGGCTCTGTAATCTTAGTTTCATCTGACTCCTCAGGGTGGGGTAGGCCAATATCCACCTCCACAGGGGGCTTCACCTCTGTGCTGGGTTTCATCACAACGCAGGTAGGTTCTTTCTCCAGTTCCTGGCTCCCTTCTATACCTAAAACAGGCTGCTTTCCCATTGAAGGCTCTATCCCCTCAGGGCCACTGGCCATCCGACTTCCTCTGTTCCCTGAAGCTTGTGGACTTCCACACGCCGCGCCCCAGGGAGGCTGTGCTACCCCTCCATGGGGACAGCGGGCCAGACAACACTCATTTTCCAATCCCACCCCCCTCCCTGGTAACACACCCAGGGGTTTCGCTTCCTCTAAAGCTGAGACCCTGCTGACCTCTAGACTGCCCCTTTCCGTGAGGGTCCTAGAAATAGTCTGTTTTTTCAATCCCATTTCAAGCTCCTTGCCGAAAGGAGATTTTGTTTCTGGTGATGCCATCCTTTCCTTATATTTATCGCTAACTACAGGGCTCTCCCTCCACTGGGAATCTTCTTTTCCTAGTCCGATTTCAAGCCCTAACTCCGTGGGAGATTTTGTTCCCATAAAGATCCTCTGGTCTCCCGAATCATCCTTTCCTTCCTGGGTCCTTCCGAATTCCATGCTCGGGGGACGATTCACCTCAGACACCCTCTTTCTTCCAAGGGCGTTCATCTCTAACGGGAGAGCTGTACTTGGCGCCAGGGAAGCTCTCAAGTCCTTGGGAGACTCCACTCTCACGCAAGAGAACATTCCCATTCAGACCACCTGCCCACCGCTTCCTGCCTGCCTCTAACACCCCGCGGAAGTCACAGAAGAGTACGCGAATGTGTTCACCCGGTTACCTGGGAAACAGACTCGGCGCGGGGCGGGCTTGGCTCACAATTCCTCTTCGGAGAGGTGCCCCGCCCACCTCTCATCCCCGCCCCCCGCCCGTGTCTCTCCCTCTGCTTCACTTGCTCGCTTCCCTTCCCTTCTTTCTCCCTCTTCCCTGTTTCTTTACTAGATTTGGAGGGCAAGAGTGAGCAATGCGGAGTTGGGCACGAGAGCAAATGCTTACTAACTTCTCTTTGGTTTCTCAGGCAATGCAGTCCTCGCAGGACGGTTTCATCCATTGCTCTTCTCCTGGCCATTGGCCTCTTAATTTTACTGATCAGCTGGGAACAAATAGCTCTCTAGCGGCCACCACTTTTTTTAGGTCTTAACTTCTTTTTTTTCCAGTACTATGAAATCCCGCTATTATATTTGACAGCTGTGATACAGAAACATCTTAAAGTTTTTAAGGACACTTAAACTTCAATAACTAGGCTTTAAACCATATTTAAAGTGAATGTTTTGAGATATGGGACTGAGGGTTAGCTCAGTGTAGTTTCTGGGTTTGATCTCCAGCCCAAAAATAAATAAAGTAAAATAAACTATGAGCTATGTTACATAAAAATGTATGGTTTTTTTTTTTTGGGGGGGGTACCAGGGATCGAACTCAGGTCCCTGAGCTTGCGCAGCAGGCAGTGAATCAGCCACTGAGCTAAGTCCCTGGCCCATGTTGTATTTTTAAAATACTGTAGCAAACTCAAATTTTAGTTTTAAGCATGGAATTTTCTTTAAATTGGGGTTAATATTTGTTATGTTCTGCACAGAGATATAGAACTGGAATAGAATTTGAATGGAAGTGAGCCGGGTGTGGCGACATATGCCTGTAATCCCAGCACTCAGGAGTCTGAGGCAAGAGGATTGCCCTGAGTTCAAGGTCAGCGAGAGGAAATAGATAACGATCAAGTGAACTAATAAATAAGATCATTTCAAATAGTATTAAGTGTTATGAAGAAAACGGGATGCTGTGAAGAAAAACACTGTAAAATCCATGGGGTTAGAAGTCTCTTCAGGCCAGCTGTAGTGGCACATACCTGTAATCCTTGCACTTGGGAGGGTAAGGCAGAAGGATAGCCATGCGTTCAAGGCCAACCTGGACTACATTAGTGAGTTCAAAGCAGCCTGAACTACATAGTGAGTCTCTGTCTCAAAAAAAAAAAAAGTCTCAGGCTAGGGATCTAGCTCAGCGGTTCCGCTGCTTGCCTCGAAAGTGCAAGGTCCCGAGTTTGATCCCTGGTACCAAAAAAAAAAAAGTCTCTTCAGTAAGTGACATTTTAGCTGAACCCTGAATTATCCCCTCCAAAAACACAAGTTGTTTTCTTTTAAACGTTTGGTGCTGGGAATTGAACCCAGGACCTTTTGCTTGTTAAGCACACATTCTACCACTGGGCCACACCCCAAGTGCCATATGTAAGCATTTTAAACATGTCTAGCAAAAGTTCCCACAGCCTTTTTCTCACTGCCTTGACACCATGCCATAGGTTAAGAGTTACCATTTGGTTTTGTGTCCAGAAAAAAAATTTAAATTGTCTCAGACAATTTAACTCATATGGTTAAGAAAAGACTAACTGTAAAAGAAGTCAGATTTTGGAACCATTATAAACAGTAATTCTTGCTCTAGAGTCTCTTTTCTGTAGTGTGAAATTATAGAAATAATGAAATCCCATAAAAGTATCCTCGGTTTCTTCTACAGGAACTAGCATCCTGGATGAAGTGAGACCAGGAATGATGAGCATTAATGGTGTTAAAGACAGAACAAAGTGATCAAAGATACCAAGGTGAGAACACACCAGCAATATTCAGGAAATGGGGTAGATACCTGTGGTCAGAGGACAAAGCAACAGGGAAGAGAGGGAGGCTATATACATAGAATGAAAGAAACATCAGTTGGAACGAGGTTAGAAGAACTTTAGATTCTAGTTAGCAAATAATGAGATACTATTAAACTTTTATTTTTTTCTCCAGTGCTGGGGATCGAACCTAGGGCTTTCACATGACCTATATCCCCAACCATTTTTTTGAGACAGGGCCTTCTAAATTGCTAAGTTGCCCTGGCTGGACTCCAACTTGTGGTCTTCCTGCCTCAGTCTCCCAGAGTGTTGGGATTACAGGCATGTGCCAGTACTCCTGACTATAATTAAGAATTTTGAGAAGAGTGACTAAAGTGTAGAGACAGGAATATGCATTCATTCCCCTTCACATGAATACCACCATTGCTCACACATTAGGATTAGACCTCAAATTTGGAATCAGAGACTTTTCGATGATAGAAATGGATGATAAAACCTTTACGAGGTAAGAAATGAAGACTCAGAAATGATGCTGTGGTCCCAAGTCTAAGTGATTAGGAAGCTGTTAATGTCAGGCACTAAGCAGAAGCAGGTTCTGAGCAGAATACGTTTGGCTTGGAACATGCTGTTGACATGACAAAATTGATGTGACATATCCTATTTCTTAATTCTTGGGATTAGCCACAAGCTAACATCATGACTAGCATACCATATTCAAACACCTCCTTGGGGCTAAGGTGTCACAGATACCATGTACATATGACACATTCTGCTCTGGTATTGGGGAGTTGATCTCAGACTGGTTCTTCAAGAGTTCATATCACCTTCATTGCACAATGTTGAATGTGCACCCACAGGATGGCTTAGCCCAGGTATATCTGAAAGATATTTATTCCTTCACAACAGAGATATAAATTACAAACTGCAAACCGATAACTAGCCCTTATTCTGAGGGGAAATCAATTTTAATTATTATATATATTCTATTAAATTACAAAAAAAATTTTGGCTTGGTTTCAGATGTCTTGCCAGAGACTATGATGTGGAAATTAAACCCCTCCCCCATAATTTTTTTAAAATCATGTCTCAATTAGGCCTGCTGTGGAGAGTAAAGAACATCTTGGCTTGTATTTCACTAGAACCCTAAGAACATACATTCTGGAGTGAGCCTGCAGGTTAGAATCCAGCTTCATTGCGGGGTGTGGTAGCACACGCCTGAAATCCCAGCACTTGGGAGGCAGAGGCCAGAGGATTATGGCGAGCTGGAGGTTAGCCTGGAGGAAGACCCTAAATCAAAAACACAAGCAAACAAAAAACCAAAAAGAAACCCAACAAAAAAATAATCCAGCTTCATCACCAAATAGGCATGATCTTGAGCAAGTTACTCAATCTCTTCTCCCTCAAATTCCATACCTGTAAAATAGGCACGTCTCATTCATTAATTCCACAACCATAACTTAAGACTTAAGGCTCTAGGCACTGTGCTGGACACGGGCTTTGGGACGTTAATTCTCTAACGAAGCTAGAGAACCAATAAGTTTCAGAATAAAAGACTCGCAGTATAAGCATTAAACGTTATTATTTGGTTTGGTTTAGTTTGAATTTTTTGAGACAGGGTCTCGCTGTAGTTCAGGCTGGCCTTTAATTCAAAGTGATCCTCCGGCCTCAGACTGGGTTCTTGGACTTGCTGCTCTTTGTCGACCCACCGGATCCCCAGGAAGAAAGGGCCTCTGTCCGTAAAACAAGACTCAGACCAGGAGGTCTAAGGGTTTGTGAGAGAAACGGGACGTCTGCGAGCCGATACTAACCTCAAGGCCCTAACAGAACCCACCAGCAGACGTCCTCCGGGCCCGCCCCCAAACCAGGGAAGCCAGGGAGTTTCCCCGCCCCCGCCTCCGGGAACCTCCGGATCCCCGCCCCGATAACAATGGCGCTAGCGAGGGCGGGGCTGCGCGCGCTCCAGCTGGGGGAGGGGAGGCCTCCAGCGCGGCCATCACGTGATAGGCGTCTCGCGCAGCCCCGCCACTAGGCTCAGGATGGGAAGGCTTTGAACAGGGGCGACAGAGCGAAGGCAACGGGCGGGCTGGCGTCGGCCGGAAGTGACGAAGGGGCGTAGCTCCCTGCGTGCCGCGACGTGGCGGCGGGGTCGGCGCTGGGCAGCGGAAGTAGCTGCGGCGCCGGGACTTGAGTGTTTGTGTTTTGGTTCGGGAAGAGGCCGGCAGCCGGCTTAAGGGGAGGAGGCTGAGGAGGGCGGAGGAGGAAGAATTAGAACTAGAGCGCAGACGGTGGTGGAGGAGGAGGAGGAGGAGGAGGAGGAGAAAGGAAGGAGGAAGGCGGAGCGGAGAGAGGCGGAGACGGAGCCTGACAGGGGCGGCACCACGGCTCGATCCCCGCTCAGTCCAGTGTGAGGGGTGCGGCGCGAGTAGGAGACGCTGCTGCAGCTGCAGGCTCGTTCGTTCTTCCGTCCACTCCTGGGCCTTGCTGCCGGGAAGCTGCGGCCCCGCGACTCCGCGTGGTGCGGGCTCAGGTAAACCAAACAGCCTCTCCCCTGCGTAGCGCGGGCCGGGACCCCAGGTTATCCGCGGTCCCCGGCGTGTGAGCGGCCCTGTCGGCCCTAAGCCTCCCTCCTCCCTCGCGAGCCATCGAACACGTCGTCTGGTCTTGCCAGGCCTTGTGACTCATCTCTCATGGAGCTGTAGAGACCAGGATCTCGGGACTAGCTCGGGGAGCGACGGGTGTCACCCTCTTCCCTTCTCAAGATGGCGCCTTGGAAAGAGGGCTGGAGGCCGCGGTTCTGCCTGGCCCCGGCCCTGTCAGGCCCGGGGGTCTCATGCAAAACTAGGCCAGGCTCCGGAGAGGATGGGAGGACGGCCGAAGGGTTGGGCGAATCCGCAGGTTCAGGCAGTGCGGGGTTGGCTGCCAGCTACTCCCGGTGGTCTCCAGACCGAAGCCTGGACTACTGCAGGTGTGAATTTAGGGAGCCCCGCCCCATGACTTCTGAAGACCGGTGATGGAAGTGGTGGGAAGCTCGTCAAAATAGGCTGTCCAGAGATACTCGTCTCATCTATGGGAGGTACTGAACCGCGGCTTTGGAGAAATTTAAGATAACTAGGCCGCTGAACTCTCCCCATGAGTAGAGACCATGCAACCTGCCCTGGTGTTCCCTTCCGTGGAAGCTGGGTATCCCCCCCTGACTTTCAGACCTTTTAACTCTGAGCTTCATAGTCCTTATATTTAGTTTATGCCTGCTGGAATGAAATCGTAGCCTTTCATATAAATAAGGAAAAATACCTACGTGTACACTTCTGGGCATACTCAGGACTGCTCAGAATCTATTCTTAAGATAAAACAGGTAATTTGAATTCATAGGATTGTTGTAAACAAAAGTACGCAGAGCAGTGCCTACCAGTAATTTTTTTAACCATAGAGTACTCAATATTTTCAAAAGGTTTTAAAACGCACGTTATGCAAAATCTTTGTTTTGGAAAGCAAGACTATTTCAGTAAATAGTGAATATAAGGGATTAGATGGGTTTTTGCTTTGTTTTGATCTGTTTGTTTGCTGTGCGTGCTTCGAGTTGAACCAAGGCGCCTCTTTTGTGCTTAGTCTATTGAGTTGCACTCCTAGCCCCTGCATATAATTTGTTTTGTTTTTTGAGACACTTGGCCTTGAACTCACCATATAGTAATTATTACTATTTAATTTGAGATATTTCAGAGTAGAAATGATTCATTAGCTTTAAACCTTGAAAAGCTAAATCAAAATCTCGTTTGTTTTTTCTGTGACAGTGTTTTCCTGAAATTTTGGGTGGTGGTTTTTGTTGTTGTTGTTGTTGTTGTTGTTGTTGTTGTTGTTGTTTTTGAGACAAGGTCTCAGTATGCAGTTCAGGGTGGCTTTCAACTCACAGAGATCCTCCTGTCTCATCCTCCAGAGTGCTGAGATTACAGGTTTGGGCCACCTGTGAGCCTGTTCTTGATAATTTATTGTTATGTAGATAAGAACCAATTGGGAAGTATTTAAATAATATGTATCTGTGTTTTCAGCCTAAATGACAATCTATTGATATATGAGTATTATCTCACTAAAGGGCCACTTTAATTGCCGATTTCAGTCATTGCTATACAGTAAACACTGTATTGGAGATTGTTTACATGTATTTTCCATTTTTCATAATAGCTGTGCAAATTAGGTATTATGGAAATACAGACTTGAGTATTAAAGAATTTGAATAGGAGGAAATCGGTATAGCCAAGATTAGATCCCCAAATCTCGCATTTTTTTGAGGAGTGAGGTGTAGGATAGCTTTATTATACCCCATTGGTTGGAAGCAGCTCATATCATTTCATCTGCAGGATGACATGTATTGATAGAAGACAAGGACTGTTCAAAGATAAGGAGCATAAGATAAGACAAAAAATGGTTTTATTGTTTTGAGACCTAAGATCTCCTGGATATGTTTATTAACAAATTCATCATTATCAAGAATGCTTTCTGTATAGACTCAAATATCATAGGGAAGGCAAATTTCTTTTTTCTTTGTTTTTTTAAGACAGGGTCTCACTTTGTAGTTCAGACTGGCCTTGGACTCTTGTGTAGCCCAGGCTGGCTGTATAGGATTGAATCCACAGCCTTGCATGTAGGAGGCCTGTGCTGTATCACTGAAATACATCGACAGCCATTTTTTTGAAATCTTGTTTTGAAACAAAGTTGCAAAGGCTGACCTCAAGCTTGCAATCCTGCAGCCTCAGCCTTTTGAATAGCTGGGCAGTTTAATATATTTTATTAATGACTATATAATCCAATTTTGATTAAAAGATGGGGATAAACTATTAAGATTGGTGAGAGAACTGAAAAAGAGTACATATTCAGTAATTCATTTGAGATTGAAGATTAAGCTAGTTTTCTTAAAATGTATTGCTAAATGGAAAATAATGGCATATATTTTTAACAGTGGCCTTAATTGTTAACAATTAATGTAAATCACTACTGATCTCACCAAATAAAGAACAATTGTTAGTGCTTTTTTTTAATTTTTAAAACAGGATCTCGCTATGTATGAGCAGATAAACAGATTTAAGTCTTTTAACCACTAGGCACACAAACCTGGGAGCTTTTAAAGTATTTTTTCTCTAAAATTTCCGTTAATTAAATGAAAAACATTTCATTTAACCAGAGGCCTTCAAATATTAAACTCTAGGTTCTGTTCTAGAAGTTTTTCATTTATTAACTTTGCTCAAAATAATTTTTTTTTTGGTACCGGAAATCGAACTCAGGTCCTTGGTTTTCAAGGCAGGTGACGGAACTACTGAACTAAATCCCTGGCCCCTGCTCAAAATAATTTTGACATAAGTAGTCTGACTTTCGAACCCAAGCTCTTGAGTCACCTCTCAGGTTGCCTGGCCTTGAAACAGCTCTGTCACCTTTGTCGCAGTTACTCTATGACCTCAGTCAAGTTACTTAACCTTTCTGTGTCTCTGTTTACTCATTTACAAGGAGTGTAAATAGTACTTAACTCTGTATTGTTGGGTGACTATGTTAAGTACTTAAAATACTGCTTGGCAGGAAACCAAATCTTTTTTTTTTTTTTTGGGTGTAGGAGATCGAACTCGGGACCTTCTGCTTACTAGGCAGGCAGCAGCAACACTGAGCTAAATCTCAATGAAGATTAGCTTTTTTTTTTTTTTTTTGGTACCGGGCATTGAACTCAGGTCCTTGCGCTTGCGCAGCAGGTGGCGAAACCACTGAGCTAAATCCCCGGCCCAAGATTAGCCTTTTTTTAAGTGCTGCAAATTACAAAGTAATTTTAGGCTTGAATCTTTTTTTTTTTTTTTTTTGATACCGGGGATCGAACTCGGGACCTTGTGCTTGCGAGGCAGGTGCCAGAACGACTGAGCTAAATCCCTGGCCCCTAGGCTTGAATCTTAAGCCTTTAAATTATTTTCTTATAAAGTAAACAGTTGAATGTCCACTTGGGATTATAATAAGCATGCAATAATATGCTATGGACAAAATTTACTGATGTAATTTATACTAGGTTTTACTGATTTGTATCTTTGTTTCTTTACAGATTTCTATAATTCCAGAAAGAAAAAAAAATCGACACCTTGCATCCTGGAAGTTCATTTAGGACTCTGAAATTAGGGACTTCTTTCAAATTTGGACATGGCTAATCGAGGAGCAACAAGACCTAATGGGCCAAATACGGGAAATAAAATATGCCAGTTCAAACTAGTACTTCTGGGAGAGTCTGCTGTTGGCAAATCAAGCCTAGTGCTTCGTTTTGTGAAAGGCCAGTTTCATGAATTTCAAGAGAGTACCATTGGGGGTGAGATTTTCTTTTTCTCTCTGTCTAATTGAATTGTGCACTGACAAAAACATTTTGATGTTCCAGTTGTGTGATTATGAATACCTACATTGATCAAATAGGGGAGAAAAGAACTGTTCAGCAGACCTTAAGCTTTAAAACCTACCATTCTACTTTGATTTTTGTTAAGATGACATCTTTTGACATTTTGATTTCCTGGTTAATCTGGAATGTGGTTGTATTGTAGTAGCTAAAATACATAAGCATAAGTGGAATTGATTTCCCAAGTAATAAGGTTTGATTTGGATTCTATTTCTTGGTAATAGAAGTTTCTTGGATTTAGAATGCATAGTAAAAGAGTTAACCTTAAATTCTTATTCTATATATACAATAAGTTCCCGGCTTAGGAACATTCAAGTTGTGAACTTTCACATATGAATGGACTTTGCATTATAAAAATTCATGGATACAAATCACAGGAGTAGCTCAGGTGTCTGCCAGACATTCTCACAGCTATGCTGCCGTGGTGCTTACTGTACAGTGCGATGGTGCACAGTAGTACAGTCCTCAGTCAGAGCCCAGGATGTCCCGAAGCAAGAGGAAAAGCAGTGGTGATGTGGAGGGGACTGCTGAGAAGCACAAAGCAATATACAATGATGTATAAGACTCACTTTCTCAGACGTACAAATGTTTTCTCAGAATGGAACTTGTTCATAAATTGGGGTCTTACTATACTTGACTATTGGTAGTTTTAATGATACTAGATACTTGTAAGAGTATTCTTCAGTGGTTTTGGCACCTTCCTCGCAAGGGCTAGGTCCCGAGTTTGATCCCCGGTACCCCCCAAAAAAGAGTATTTTTTAGAATGAGAGACTAGAATAGGAGAGGAAGTAATGGAAAGCATGACAGGAAAACGAGACCTGGAGAAAAGATAAAAGGAGAGTAAGGGTCAGCACTGCACAGCAGTTATGATAGGAAAGATATTAGGAGATAAGGCACAGATCAGAAAGGAGACAACTAACAATTTTTGTCAGTAGAAGACTGAAAGAGAACTGGATGTAACTAGGGCAAAACAGCCTCTTTAAGGCCTAACTTGCTTCTGTGAAATGAAAGTTTTTCTGTTTATTTATTTATTTGGAGGGTTTTTTTCCTGAATCATAAGTTCAATTTATTTTTATATTTTATTTTATTTTAGTTATGTATTCCTTAAGTAGGTAATATGCACACTCAGACTAATTCTAAGGAACGTAAAAGGCTCAACATTCCTCCCAGGAAGGTATAAGGCTCAGAACTGCTCCTGGCTACCCGATTCCTCTCGTTATTTAGGGGTTTTTTGTGCCGGGGATTTAGCTCAGTGGCTCCACCTCCTGCCTTGAAAGCACAAGGTCCCAAGTTCAATCTCTGGTACCAAAAAAAAAAAAAATTTAGAGGTTTTTTGTTTTGTTTTGTTTTGTTTTGTTTTGTTTTGAGACAAGGTCTCACTATGTAGTTCAGTTGGCCTTGAACTCACTGTGTAACCCAGGCTGGCCTCAAACTTGTGATCCTTCTGCCTCATCCTACCGAGTGCTGGGATTATAGGCATACCCCACCATGCCCGCTTTTTAAAATTTTTTTTATTGCTTGTTGTTTATACAGATTAATGGGTTTAATTTCGGCAGATGCATAAATGCACACAACATACTTGTTTCCAGCTCCCCCATCAACCCTTCCTTGCCGCACTCACCCTCCTAGTTTCACTTTTTGGGGGGAGGCTTCAGTGCCTAAGTAAAATATTTTGATCACATCCACTCCCTTTTTACCCACCCTTCCACCCCCCTCCAACTCCTCAATGAAGCTTTTGAATTAGATAATATCACATGACTAAGATTTAATATTTTGTAAGGGATTAAGCAGTACTACTTTTTTTAAAAGTATTTGTGGCTGTTTTTAATCCTATACTTTTGGAAAGTCTTGAAATACATAAAACAGTTATACTCACTGGCATGTAGCAATTTCTTAGAATCCGTCACTCAGAAGCAAAAGTTATATGTGTATTTAGTGGGTATTGGTAAGCAAATACACTTAAGAATTGTATTCATAATCTCAAACCCTTCTAGTAAGATAAAAACTTTTCTGCCATTTTCCCACATGTAGGAAACATACTTAAGATAAATAAACTCAACAATATAACAGTGATTTTCAGCCTCTTTCATGTGCCATGTTAATGTTGTATTGTTTAAATGTTTGTTTTTTACAGTGGCTAAACATCAGCAAAGTAATCCATATCATGGAGCTCTTATTTTGAATCAGAAAACTTGGCTTTAATGTACAATTTATTACACATCCTTTGTAGTTTAATACATCCTGTCTGGTTTAGTAGTGAATATTCTCTCTCAAGATTCAGCCTCTAGAAGCAACTTGGGCCAAAACCCATTGACTCATCTAATAGAGTTTTTTTGTTGCTGTTTTGTTTTGTTTTGTGGTACCAGTAATGGAACTCAGGACCTTGTGCTTTCGAGGCAGGTGCGGTGCCACTGAGCTAAATTCCTGGCCCCTCCTAATAGCCTTTTAGAGATTGTTAGATCATGTCCACCACCTTATACTACCTGACTGCCAGTGGCAGGATTTCCCAAATCCTGTATGAATATATGAATATAGGCATTCTGGCTTAAATACTGGGCCAAAAGGGTTTGGGATTTGGTACCTTCCCACACTTTCACAGTATATATTAAAATAATAAAAGCTCTGAGATACATACTGTAGGATACAGTATAACTAAATTCCTAGGGTGCTTCAAGAGCCTAAGACTAGAATTTTTGTTTTATTTTTTATAATCCAATTGTCTCTTAAGTTTCTTTTTTCCTAGTGGAAAAAGACTCAAGACTGTAAAAGAAAAATTTATAAATATGCCTATTAACTGATACATGTGTAGCTATATATATGTATATATATAATTTCCATTTAACACCAGTTGGATTGTCTACATTTCATTAATAAATTTTTCATAAAAATTTCCTGCTGGGTGTGCTGGTGCATGTCTGTAATCCCATCACTCATGGGAGGCTAAAGGCAGGAGGATCAATACAAGTTCAAGGGCAGCTTGGGCTACATGGTGAGTTCAAGGCCAGTCTGAACCAGAAAGGGAAACCCTGTCTCAAAAAAAGGATCTATATTTTTAATCTATGTTTGCGATACAAAATAGTTAAATTTGAGTTTTTTGGGGTTTTGCCAGGCTGGGACTTGAACTCAGGGCATTGCCCATGCTAGGCATGCACTTTATCACTGAGGTACATCCCTAGCTCTTTATTTTACTATTTCTTATTTTGAGACAGGGTTTTACTAAGTTGCCCAGACTGTACTCATATGTTTGATCTTCTTGCCTCAGCTGGGATATAGGTGTGCATCACTAGGCCCAACTAAGATTTCCCTTTTTTTGGCTTATTGAGACAGGATCTCAGTTCAGGTTGGCCTTGAACTCCGGCAATCCTCCTGCCTTAGCTTCCCAAGTGCTGGGATTAAGATTTCCATTTCTATGTATGAAATTTCCTTACTGTTTTCTTCTTGGACAGATCAAGTCTGGCTGCTTAGAAACAGCTTTAACAGGAGCTTTAACAGGAACTTTAAAAATTTCTGTTATTGGGTACTTTTTCAGTATCCTGATTGCATATTAATTTTTTCAGGAGTTGTAATAATACCATTATGATTACAACTGTGAGCACTGTACTTTTATGGTCTTCCCTAACAGCATTTGCCCTTAGGAACTGTTGTATAGTCCTAAGTATTTTAGGATCCTACAGTCTAAACTAGTGATCAACTCCAAGGTCCCTAACTTGTAAGCTATGTATATTTTTGTTTTGCCTGATGTATGATAGTAATTATCTAACAAATGAATCTGCTCAGCTGTTTGACATTTCAACCATGGTTTTGGGTTTTTGTTTTTGTTATTTGGCTACATATATCTAGTAATATTTGTTCTGAAACTCTCTTGCGTTCTAAGGTGCAAATCATATGCCACATTCTTGAATTTGTGGATTCTACAATATTGTATAATTTGTGTTGTTCTTCCTAAAAATGATGACTTAAGAATCTTTGTTGCCTCATCATTACCCATACTCCCTTGACTGTAGCATTCTGGACAAGGCCAGATAGCTAGGTGACAGTCTTAGCAATTTGGGGAGTTGTAGCTTGTGTGCTGGGCTTTAAAGTCTTTGTATTTATGCTCCTGTTGTTTGTCTGAAATTAGCCCAAAGGTCAGTGAGGAGCATTAGGCTCAGGAGATTTCTTGTTGTTTTTTTGGTACCGGAAATCAAACTCAGGACCTTTCGCTTGCAGGGCAGGCACCGGAACCACTGAGCTAAACTGGCCCCTCTGGAGATCTCTTACCTTTATGTGGTACATCAGCTCTAAGCTCAGCTGTTCTGTAAGTGCTCCTTGGATGAATAGTGTTTGAATACTTGAAACTGTAAACGTTTCTAGTGAGTTTGTCTTATAAATAAAAAGTAAATCTACCCTGGAGTGGTAGTGTACCCCCGTAAGCCAGCACTCCAGAGGCAGGAGGATCACCTCTAGTTTGAGGACAGCCTGGGCTACATAGTTTAATGCCATCCTGGAATATTTAATGCCATCCTGGAATATTTAGTGAGACCTTGTCTCAAAAGAGCCAAAATAAATACATAAGTGGCAAATCTATAAGAAGACATTTCAATGATATTTATAAACAAATGGATCCTCAACATAGATTATACAGTGCATAAAATGGCATGCAGTTGAACAATTCTTTTTTGTTTCTTTTCAGAGAAATGCTTATACCACAAGTTTAATTTTGTATACACTAATCAAAAGTCTTAACCAGCTCTGAAGGTTAGACGATGGGACTACATGAAAATAATAACATTTCTCTTGCAGATGCTATGATTTTTTTGTTCATTTTTGTTTTATGAGATAGGGTCTTGCTGTGTAGTTCAGATTACAGATGTGAGCCACTGTGCCCGGCTGATGCTGTGATTATTGAACTTTAGTTTAGAGCAGTGGTTCTCAGAAGT